AAGTTGTTTGGTGTGAGTACTGTGGGCTTAGCCAGAAAAGGTGGGAAAAATGTCCCTGGGCTCAGCAAGGATATGTGCCACCCACTGTTCTTGAAGGGACATTTCTTCACAAGTGATTCCTGATGGAAAGGTGGCTTGTAGTGGAGCAGAGATTTCACAATCTGGCTGTCCCGCTCAGACCCACCCTGTGAACTGGGGGTTCCTTGCATCCTGGTGGGTTGTAAAATTGTATATGGGTCCTTTGGAAATTTGGCTGAGGGGGGTATGTGTGATAGGGAGCTTCTCTGGATAGTTGCCCTAAAGAGAAGTGGGTCTGCAGATGAACAAATTTAGGTCTTGTGCTATTTGCATCTTCTGAATATCTTTCTAAATGCATTCCTGTCCCCTCATACCTGTGGTAAGAGAGATTGTTTCCAGTCCTTTTTTCCTGTTTGCAGTGACATGAGGTTGGGGGGGATGGAAATTGTATGCTTCTGTCAGATGAAAAAGCTGTTTCAGACCAGCTCAAAGTGTGTGCCTGACACTATCATTCTGGACATAAGTGTCCTTTTCCTCTCAGGAATGGCACTGTTTGAAGTATCCTTCTGCAGTGTGTTTCCACATGCTTTTTCTGAGTGCAGCTCCTCCTTGCTCTGAGTTGTTTCTTGCTGTTGTACCAGCTCCTCTCCGAGACCACAAACTCCTGGGATGCTAATGCATCCAAACATTTATTCACTGCATTACAGGGATGAGCAAGGCAGGTTGTGGATGATGCTTGAAAGTAGGGTGGGGTTAGAGGTAGCCCTCTGGGTGTGGGCTAGGTTGAATCAGGAGAGCAGAGGAGCTCGGGTATTATCTAGCCCTTGAAGCTTGAATTGCTCCTGAATTGACTGTACTTCCTGGATGCTGTAAGCTAAACAACCTGTTTGGGCACTGGATCAGGCTGTCCTCGGGGATCATGCTGTCCATCAGAGCATGAGCACTGCACTTCCCCTCCACTGAGTGCCTCAGCCACCAGTGCTGGCTGTGGGAAGTGCATGGCGTTTGCTGTGCCTCCCTTCCTAACTGGACACAGAGATTTTCTGTGCCATGACTGCTGGGCTAAGCTGATGGAAACCAGGCTGGAGCTGGCTTTTTAGGATGGCCTGCCAGGGTGGAAGCATACTGTTCACTGTCACGATTGCTGAGGATGTCACATTGCAGCTTTTTGCCACCTGGTAAAAGGACTGCCTTGCACAGGGCTACGAGTTGGTCATGATGGGTCCTCTCCATATTCAACATATTCTATGATTCTCTGATTCTATGACTGAAAAGAGGGCATCGTCTTGAGACTGTGATGCAGTAGTTTGGGAGCAGTAACAAAACCACCTAAATGGCACAGATTACATAGTACAAGCCTCCCTTTTTGCAGAAGTGATGAATGGGGCTTGCTTTCTCTTCATGGCATGAAATGGCACACTGGCAGAGGTGGCTTACCTCCAAAATATATTCATTATCTTTTTACAACAGTTTTCAAATAGGAAGTGTCATGTGAGTCATAACTGCATCTCCTAGGTTGAACAAATGCCAAGTGTGATGGCAAGATTCACTTAAGCCTGGGATATGGCTGCATGTCAGCGCTAACAGAAGAACACTTACCAGGAAAGCCCTTTTCTCAAAAGAAAACAAACTCTAGTACCAGTGAGCTCTGGTTGTCATCAGCTGTCTTGTCTGTGGACTTGCTGTGACTTAACGAGTGGGACACTAGTGCCAGCTGGCCTGTGTTGTGCTGCTTGTGGGGAATGCATCATCTTTGATGTCTTCTGCCTTCTTGCCACGGCTGAAACTGCCTGTTGGGTCCTGGCTGTTCACAGGGCCATAGCTGTCTGAGGATGCTGCAGTCCTTAGCATGCACTTCCTTAGCAAGCAAACACTCTTGCAACTTTGTCTTTCCAGGCCCCCAGTGCTTGCACTTCAGGATAAATTTGTTGATGTCACTTCTAGCTTCTGCCTCAATTGTGCCAGAGGGAAGATGGCTCAGATCAAACTTCAGTCAAACTTCTAATCCGAAAAACTGTTAAATCCAGTTAAGTCTGAGAAAGAACAGTTTAGATGAAAGCTGTAAAATGAATTTAAATACATGATATGAAATAATCATGCAGAATCAGTGAGGTATGTCTTAAGTTAGAGGGAGCTACATGTCCCTTTTTGCAGCTCTGTTGCTGTGTTGCAGCTCTACAGTTGGCTTTTGCCACAGAGAAAATGCAGGTTTTTACACCTTTGCAAATGTAAATTCTTCCAGTGGGCTCCTGTGTAGAGTGGTTTGGGAGTTGGGTGTGGGGCATTTTTGTTTGTTTGTTTGGGTTGCTTTTGTTTTTGTTTTGCTTGGGTTTTTATTTGTTTGGATTTTTGTGACGTTGTTGTGTTTTTTTGTTTATTTTTTTTATTTTGTTTCTGTTTTTTTCTTTTTTTTTTTTACCATTCATTGTAATTGACTATTTTAATCACTTTGAGACACTGCCTTAAACTATGCTTGTAATATTGATTTGAAAAATGAAAATGAGCTTGCCCAATTCCTTGTCCTTTACTTCCATCCATAAAAGCAGTGTATATTTAGCTGGACACAGAGAATGTACAGCACATGGGAAAGGATGTGGTCTGCAAGTTTTCAAGGGACAGCAGAGGTTGGCATGTGTTTTGGAAAGAATTTAGTTGCTTAAAGACACAGAGGTAGCTTCTGGTAGGCTCATGAGGCATTTAGGCATATCCAAATTTTAGCTTCCATGGAGTAGAAATCTGAGTGGAGCAGACCTGTAGCCTGTATAAACATTGTTCTGCCATCTGAGATGCCTAAAGATGATGGAAGCGCACTACCTGCTGCAGAGAAGCAGTCTGTCAGTTTGCTAAATATACTTGGAACAGATTGATCAAAAACAGTAAATGCAATATGTCTACTACAAGCATCACTTAATTCTCTGAATAAGAGATGCTGTCTTTTTCTCTGAATAAGAGATGCTGCATTTCCCCACCCCAATGCTCCTTGGCATAACTCAGGAAAAATACTTGCACTGTGGCTTTGTTAAAAGTTTGGGGTGGTTTTTGTTTTTATGTTTTATATCTGAGAACATGGTAGTTCATGCAGTGAGCTAAAGCCTGCCTCTCAATGGGCTTGCTTTGATTCTTGCACATACCTTAGAAATAATGCATAGACATCCAGAGGTCCATACAGCACGCATCAAAAATCACTGACTTGGCAAACACAAAATGCTGAGTGACCTTTAATAGTAAGGTGTAATCATACAGACTTTCAACTAACATGCTGTTCACATTCATGCGGTTACAGCTCAGACAGCATCAGCCTTTGCATAATAAAAAGCATTTAATTCTGTATAACAGCTGACTGCTTCCTAACAGCTTCAAACAAACAACAAACCAAACATTTTCTTTAAGGGGAGAAAAACTCAAAGTGCAAGTGTACAACAAGGCAACCAGTCTGGAAACAAATTTCACCTTCAACTGCTTGACAGTAGTGCTAAGGCATCCTTTTTTTTTTTTCTTTTATTTTTTTTGGTCACTGTTTCCATGCTTTTTTCTAAGCAGTTTATTCTTGAATTGAGCCTCTCTTTAGACACTGAACTTTTGTGAAGTCTGCCTTTGAGCAGGGAGAGCAGCTCTGATAGTATCTGCACCCTTTCAGTTTTGCTCTCTCCAGCCTGATTGCTTACTGCGAGCCTGCTCCCGGTAAACACATCCCGAGGTCACTTTAGCCCAGGACAATGTATGAGGTTGCAGATGCCTAGAAAGTGTTTAGCTTGGAGATTCATGAGAAGGGTGCAATTTCTACGTATTGTTGTGGATTTGTGTCACTTGAGCTTGTTCACCCTCCTTGTTAGGTCCCTTAGTGTTTTAGTTTCTGTGGCATTGCTTTGCAAGGAGGTTGGTGGTTTTGACTACAAACTGTATGAGGAACTATCTCCTGTTTGGTGTGATTCTGACTCCTAATACCTCATTCTGTTGTACTCTGGGTGTTGCATTAAAAAAGGTGGTGAATTACCAACTGCTCTTTGTCTTTTTCAGGCCCTTTGCAGGCACCTCTGCCACATGTCGCTCAGTTGCCTCCTTCCTGTAGCTGAAAAGTCTTAGATGAGTTTGTTATCCCTCTCTAGAATCCAAACTTCTCTGCTGGACAACGGCTATAGGCAGTGTTCTCATACAAGCCCTTTCTTTCCTCCCCCACCTTCTGGCTCTATACATATCTCCCTGCAACTTCTGATAGTTAGGAATTAGTTTAAAACCCAGGCTGAGATCTCTTCCAAAACTTTGGCTGGCATTAAGTTTTGGCAGGTCCAGCTGAGGTTTAGCCATGCAAAAATCCTGTTCTTTCGAGTCTTAATCTATTTTGCTAATGCTTCAATTCCAGAATTGCAAGCATGTATAGTAGTGGTGGGGAGGTGTGAGGAAAACACAAATGTGGTGCATGAGGTCATATGCAATTAAAAACTACAAACCTCCGCTAGCAGTTTTGTTTTTTTTTTGAAG